ACAAACATAATCCAGTGGGTTGGCATTGGTGCCTTTGACCCACGAGTACAGTGAAGAGACTCACCTCTCAGTCGATACTCAGTTGTAACCACTCTCACTGTCGAAATATAGGTGCTACACCCCACCTAGACAATAATACAAGGCACACCCTCAATCCACTATCCAAAAACTAAGAATTGGCCAAAAGTCGACTCAGGTCAAAAATCAACGGTCAAATATAAAGTCAACGACATCAGCACTCCTCCACGTCGTGGCCTTTCTTGGCCCTGTCGTGGGCACAAAATGACAAGACAGTCGACTGGCCTCTGGTCTCCACGTCGTGGCGACCTAGTACCATGTCGTAGGGACCATCCTAAATGGCTTATTTGAGTTAAGTTGGTCTTAGCTCATTATCAAGGGCTCAAAAGCCCAGATCTACTCATTTCCAACATCTTGATGGATAAAGTTTCCAACTTTATCCATTAAGATAATATCTCAAAACCTAGGTTCTAGAGACCATTTAAGATGTACAACCTATCCATTAAGTCCTTAATCACATGAGATGCAAGTCTAAACTTTCCAGAAGCTTTTAAGGGTCCTATAGATCTCTAAAAATGTAAAGTTTGTTGACATGAATGCCTCATGCATGTCCTTACTCAAATTTATGTCAAAAGAGTATAAAGGGGCCCAAAATCTCATGCAAGATTTGCAAAGCACAACAAATTCTCAAATCTATGAGATATAAGGTCCTTGGGACCCCTAAGATTCATAAAGTTGCAAACTTTATCTCTTTTCTCCACTCAAAATCCATTGAAAGAGTTTATTAAGCAAAATCACTCTATATCTATAAGGAAAAAGTTAAAATACTAGATCAAGATCCATACAAATGGTCCAACAAGATGCCTTCGGAGGTTGGGGAGTTTTGCTTGATGGTCTCTTGCACAAAATCTTCCTCTACTTCCTTCAAAAATCCCCAAAAGCTAGCAAATGAGCTCCAAAAGTTTCAAAGAAGATAAGGGTTAGGGTTTCTGAGGGTTTGAGAGTGATGGAGGTTAAGGATGAATAAACCCTAGCCTCCTCGTTCCTTTAAATAGGGCGCAAAGCTCGGAAATTAGGGTTTAAATAAAAATAGTTGTCACGTCGTGGAACATATGGCCATGTCGTGGCGGGTCCTTTTAAATCCTCGATCATTGAAAACATCGTCCTGTCGTGGTGAGGTCTCACAACACCGTGGCCACCCAGAATGAAGACTTACAATATGATGGTTTAGTGCATACTTGAAATGGGTGTCACACCAAACCCTAGTTTGTGGTCCTTGAGACTTATTTAATGCCTCTAACTTCTAAGGTTTCATCATTTGGCAGCCCCTATTCTTTAGAAAATCATAGCCTCTATCCTCTATTCATGAAGCTTTTTCTGCCTTGAGAGAAAAGTTTGAAAAAGACGAAGATGATGATGAAGATGATGAAGAAGGTGTATTTTGTGTAAGGAAGCAATATCCAGTGAAGTTCCAACCTTCTTGTCACTTTTTATGCTTTGTAAGTAATAATGCTTCTTCCGTTTTGTATATCATTCATGGATCTAGTATGTAGAAGTGTTTTGGGGCATTTTGGTCAAGTTTGGTCCCTTTTGCTTAGATTTTGGAAAACTATAGACTTTTGAGTTGTTGAATGGTCGTTTCTAGACTTGATGGGATGAAATGAGAGTAAGCTTGAAATCTCTTAGAACCATGCCATTTTTAGGCTCACTTTAGATCTAGGGTTTGTGTTAATGACTTGTAGATAAGTTGGAAACTCAATGCATTAAGATCCTTAGTATATGGTTTTTCGAAAGTTTGAGCCCTTTTCTTTAAGGATTAAGCACTTATCAAAAGAGATGAAGTTAGCAATGCTACATTGTGCATGTAGCTACCCTACACATTATCATGACTATTTTGTCTTTCAGTGGACACGGTGCATCTTGTGAAGTTCATGGCGCGGCTGGCCATTGACTATTGACTGTTGACATTTTTACCAGTTTGACTTTTGGTTAAACATTGATATATCTGATTATTAGATTGAGGTTTGGCCTCTGTTTGGTATTAGGTGGTTCATGCTAGCCATTTTGTTGTGTAGACTGATGTGGAGTTGTGATTTCTTGATTCAAGTGATATTTCCCACTATATCTTAGAGGTGATAGTATTATTTTAGTATAAATGTATGCTTGGAGTAGTATAGTCTTTTTTATGTTGATTGATAGTCGTATGATATGTTCTTATGACTGGTACGCAATGATGGTTGATCGGAGAAAGGTTGTGAGTCTACAAGCGATCACTGATCGGCAAAAGGTTGTGAGTCTATAGGTGATGACAGACTGACGATAGACTGTAAGTCTATAAGTGATGACGGATCGGTGATAGACTGTGAGTCTAGCATATCGATGAAAGGTCGTGAGTCATCAGGTGGTATGTGTTGTATGTGTTGCATTGTATGTGTAATGAAATGTATGGTATACTAGAAAACTCATTAAGTTTTGTGCTTACATTTCAAAATTAAATATTTTATGATTTTTCCACCGACAGAGAGTTAATGTACAGGCATCAGGATTTATATGTTTTGGATTTCCGCAAACTTTGATTTATGTTTTTGACTTGAGAGTTGGTGTTTGAAACAATTTGATACGTATGATCTTTTTATGAATATTGTTTTGAGTTGTTTACTAATATTTTAAAAAGAAATAATCAGTGGTGTTAAAATTGCAATACAAAGACTAAAAGTGTTAAAAGGACAACCACGAGGACCAAAATTTTAACTTACTCTTGAGTTTATAAATAGTTCACTCCAAATATATCGTTTACTATTCATAAAGTTAGGATTAAATATCAATTATAAATGTATATATCACTTCTTATCCATTTCATTCAAATAATGAAATGTTGCGATATTAGTATATATGTTATTAAATGAGATAACATTTACTATATAATTACACTTAATTAATTAATTAATTGTAAATATAAATTAGTTAAATTGCTTAACAATAATTTATGAAAAATGAGTATAGAAAGGGATGTAATTTAAATTATATTTCAAAAAATAAAATTATATATTTCTTTTTAAATTGATTATTGTATCTTTTAATTCGATTATTTCAAAAAATAAAATTATATATTTTACTTTTTAAATTGATTATTGTATGTTTTAATACGATTAGAAACCGTTTGAAATTTAAAAAATAAAAAATAAAAATAAAAAAAGTTTGATTACTATTCATACATTCTTTTACAATATAGTATAATAAATTTGCATATTGAAAATTTTTTAAGAATACATTCATTCTTTTGGATAATTGTGTTGATTATTATATGTGTATTCTTTAAAATATGATATTTTACAATATATTGGAAATTTTTTAAGAATACTTTCATTGTTTTCGTTTATTGTCACTTCTATTTTGAAATTAACTATCTTCCAAAAATATCTTAGTTTCTTCGTATTGTCAACCCAGTCGTGTACACAACTACTCCTCGAGACTCTTGGATATTTAAATGAAGTTCTAAGTAGAATATATATATATATATATATATATATATATATATATATATATATATATATATATAATATTTTTTTTGTCACATGTCATCTTCTCCTTCATTTGACACTTGTCATTTTGTGAGAGTTTTAGAATTTTTTTTTGTCATTTTTAGGGATTTCCATTTCTTAAAATAAAATTTCATAAAATTGCAATGGGTTTTATAAGGAAATAAAATCATCCTATTGATCTTCTCTAATAAATGAATGTTTTTTTTGCCACATGTCATATTTTCCTTCATTTTGGCACTTGTCATTTTGTGAGAGTTTTAGAATTTTTATTTTCCACTTGTCATTTTTTAGGGATTTCCATTTTCTTAAAATAAAATTTCATAAAATTGCAATGGGTTTTATAAGGAAATAAAATCATCATATTGATTTGATAATAAATTCTCATAAATCCTCCAAATGATTTAATTTCTTTTGCAAATGTTCCAAAAGATTACATTCTGTTATGTAAATTATTACTTTATAAAATATTTCATGTTTATATATTGATATTAAAGTTTTATTTTTATTAAACACGTGTAATACACGGGTATATATATATATATACTATGTGAGACCCATGGATTATGGGTTTAATATATATATATATATATATATATATATATATATATATGAAATTTTAACAATTTGAAAATGTTTGAATTTATAAGAAAAATTAGAAAAGTTTTGAATTATTAAAATTAATGAGGCTTTAATGTATTGAATATATTACATATATAAACCCTTTCTAATAAATACCTTACATATATATTACCTTACAAATTTAATGTGGAATTTTAATTTAATAAAATGAAAAATACAATAAAATGACAAGTGGAAAATAGAAAATTCAAAAATTCTAGAAAATGTCATGTGTCCAAATGAAGGAGAAGAGGACATGTGGCAAAAGTTCTTTATTTATTAGGGAGGATATATATATATATCTATATATCTATATATATATATATATATCTATATATATATATATATATATATATATTCCATTCGGTTCTTAAAAAACCTATAATTTTTCACTTATAATCTCTATTATGTGCTTCAATATAGATTGAGCTCCAACCTCTCATATTCAATTTAATGCTATTAACCTCTTATTTAATCCCCATTTTGGATGCCCTTGAAACAAAGTTACTCTTTTTTTTGTTTATATTGGTAAACCATTGATATGTATATATAGTTTTTTAAATTATTCAGTTAATAAATTTTTAAACCAAGGGAGTACTGAGAATTTGTTTAGAACGGTATTTTAATGATGGCAGTGTTCGTGACTATTGATATGCATATATAGTTTTTAAAATTATTCGGTTAATAAATTTTTAAACCAAGGGAGTACTGAGAATTTGTTTAAAACAGTATTTTAAAGATGGCTGTGTTCGTGACTATTTTTCATTTGGCAGTAATATAATCGAAAAGTTATATAAGAGATTTATACTTTTGTAACACAGTATCTCAGTCGCTAAGTCATAATTCTTGTAGTGCCCATTTTGATCCCAACACATAAAATTCACTATTTCTAGCATTTGCTTTTCCAAGGTACAATCAAAACATCTAAGGTAGATGGGACATGAATGACCACCCCATGTGATATGTTATCATATTGCTTGTTGTCGACATTATTCTATATTCCATTCCTCCATTATCGATTAGGCACTGTAACCAACAGTCGCAGGATTCCATTGCCCCATGTTAAACGAACTACATGTTGCTTTTGAAGCTTCATCCATGGCTTCCTTCGTAACACCATTGTTACACATGTTGGCAAATGTTCTTGAATGTTTCAAGCCATATTGTGTCAACGATCCGCAGTGTGTCTCGAATGTTCGAATCTGAATCAATCAAATTTTTCTAAAAGTTAACAACCAACGAAAAACAATTAGCAAAATGAATGCGAAAAATATCAAGTTTCTTTGTCACCATCGATTTAAGACACTCCCAATCGTCCACAAGGACAGATCCTGCAGGTCTGACTGATCCGTGGTCTTGGTCACCTAACTTGCCTTTGATCGTTTCGACACTACTGTCCAAATGCGCCCTATGCGTTGTTATTTCTTTGATGTTCTTGAGTAGTTCAATCTTCTCTTGTGGTTCTCCTGTCGATTTCTCATACTGTAGAATACGATATTATATATATGTCAATTTGTTAATAGAAAATGCATAAGTTCAAGTGTCGATCGTGTGTTTTTCTTTAATTAAGTGTACATACCGTTTGCCACATTGAATAAAGATCTGCAGCTCTTTGGTCGACAACACCCATGGAGCCTAGAGATATGATTGAATTCGCAGTGGTGTTCCACGTGCTAGAACCTTGATAAGCAGAAACAGTCTCTTTGCTTATGTGTTGTGTACCATATTGCATCACATGCGATCCCTCTTCCGTGTTGTTATTTAAAGTCCTTATCTTTACCTACAAAAATTTAATTTATGCAATTTTGCATCCCAAAAATATATCATGAATACTTGTATCTTAACTAAATGAAGGGAACCCCATATATCAATTACCTTCGAATATTGTTGTTCCAAGGTTTCAATCGTCAAGTCTTCTAAGTCGCTAAAAGAACACAGTCGCAAGAATTGTTAATGACCATATCCAACGACATAATATCAAATCCTTGTGACATGCATGCTAAAGTATTACTAAGTAAAGCTACACCGAATGAAAATGTACCTGTCTTCCATCCATGAGATGCTGTATAAGTCACCTAAACATGTTTGGAACTCTGGAGGTGGGGGAGGTGTCATGCTAGGGCAATATGTACCCCAACTACTTTCGTTTGCATTCGATGCAGTTGTCACATAAATATTCATATCTTCAGGCAACAAACCTTCAAAAATACTTCCACTTTCACATGATTCGATATATATCACCTATTTTCAACGCTCAAACGATTAGTTGATCAACATTCAAATGTAAATCAAGAAGAAAATCAAAATGCATCTTATTATATACCATTTTATCGTAGGTACCACTCGCGTTCTTCATTTTCAAAACTTCAATGAAATCATTCGCATATAGGTGAGGCACAGTCGGCATACCTATATATGTTGATTAATTAACCCGGGAATTATGTTGGTAGTTCAAGAACAAAAGCAAAGTGTGATCAAACGCATACCGAGAATTCCAGGGGCGCCATGATCAGAGTAGAAAACAAAGATCTTATCTCCAGGTTTACTCGCTAAAACTTTCCCGCTTCCACCTGTCAATCCCGAAGCATTGCCCAGAAGCACAGCATAAAAATTGGCCACTGTCACGTGTCCTCCAGTGTAATCCTACAAAAGTGTATCAAATTTAGCAACAGAATTATTAAATATTGTCGTTATAACAGTTTGCGACACTTTGCAACGTTATAGTGAGCTAGTTATAAGGGTACCTTTGGGACACCAGCATAAACATCTGAGCCGTTCGGACTGTTAATAATGACACCGGGTCTTGGGTTCATTATGTTACTCGCAATGTCATCGTACATGAACACAATTATATTTTCATCTTTCAATCCACCCTTTTTCAGTATTTGATATGCATGACAAACATCCGCCTGAAATCAATTGCTATTTTCATTACATGTCTCGCTTTTTACAAGTAAAGGTAACTAGTAAATGAAAACTTAAGGAAATTAAACACAAACCTGATGACGATAGTTGTAGTACCCACTTGAACCAGCTACAAGAACAGCCCATTTTGTGCTATTGACATCGTTAGTGGAAGCGAACAGACTACGGGTAGCTTCTGAGAGTTGCACTGTGAGTAGAGTTAGTAGTAACAAGGCAAAATGGAAGGCAGACATGTTGACAGAATGGATTGGATTCGTTCGAATGGTTCATGTATATATACTAGAAATGCTAATGGAATCTCTGTGTATAGATTGGTTACTGGAGCAAGAAATTTCACTTGTCGCTAACTTGTTTGGCATTTCTCATAGACCACGCATTACGTGACAAGAATGCAATAAAGAAACATTATATGAAAGAGCGTATGATTTATAATTTATTGACGTTCATTTGTTGCGATGCTAATGATTTATAATTTATTGAAGTCCACATGTTTGATCCGAGAGATAGTACAATTGTAATGGGGTCGTTTTGAACCCAAACACTGTGTCTTATTCATTCGGTGAATGCGAAGAATTTTGTGAGTTTATGTTGTCCTCCATAAGACGGCCATTTTGTATAGTGTACACTGTACAAAAGCAAAAATGGGATAAATAAATGGTTAGTCATGAAAGCAATATGGTTGAAATAGAAAATAGGTGTTGAGAGAAACTTGTCCCCCTATATACTAGAAAGAGAAAAGAAATTGATTTTATATAGTTTTCCTAGTAATTCAAGTCATTCTTATTTATAGAAGGCTCTCCATCTTCAGATATAGAGTGTTAACAAAGTATTTTCTTATGAATCCTCCAATATTGCATTCCACCAAATATCTTTCCTAATAAATAAAGATCTTATTGACACATGTCATCTTCTCCTTTAATTTGCCACATGTAATTTTCTCATAATTTTGATTTATTTGTTTTCCACATGTAATTATTTTTTTTTCTGGTTCCATTATTTTTAGTGAAAATCATGACTTAATTAATTCAATTCATTCTTAAACTAATTATAATAAATTTCATCAAAGTTACGGTCTCAACATATTTGTTTTCCTTTTTTATTTTCATTATTTACATAAAAGTAACTTTTTTCAATTTAAACTTATTTTTACATAAATTTGTATTACTTTGTATTCATTTATATACTTATTCATCAAAGCTTTTTATACATAAAAAATTATTACTTTTTAAATTACCTAAGGTTTACAAGTTAATATTTTTTTTAATAAACTCGTGTAATACACGGGTCTCACACCTTAGTAAGTATAATACAATACGTACTAAAACGCTAAATACAAAACGGGTACTATACATTGGGCCACACTTATACAAAAATACAAGATCGCACAAATATGAATCCTCCAATATTGCATTCCATCAAATTTAAGTACAGTACAAGACTAATGGGCTAAATACAAAGTGGGCTCACCATACATTGGAGTTTGGACCACATTTAATATAAAAAATACAAGTGCAAAAATATTATACAATTCATACAATATGTCTAACATATAGTTTTGATGTATATTCTAGAACCTTTTATAAATAGATTTGTTCCATATTAACAATTTTAGAGTCGGGTTGGATATAGGGTTTGGTGAAAAATGAAGGAATTGGGTAACAAATATGTTTTGTCGGCCTTTGCTTTAGTTGTTACTAATGGCTACCAAGTTAAGTATTTGTGTTAAGTATTTTCTCATAACTCAATATAAATGATTACAAGGTGCTAAATATGTACAGAAAGGGCCATGGGTTGAATGCTATCTTCATACTAACTATATACATACGAAATACATAAATTACATATTGACTAACATACTCTTCTAGTTTTATCTGGAATAGACTTCTGAAGTTCAAACTCAATTTGAAGTCATATAAGAGGTATGGAGAGGCCCTTAGTGAATATTTTAGTGTATAAAGAACTAAATGGCATGTTGAGAACATGAACAAGGCTCAGCTCAACTTGATCCTGGACAAAACAAATGTCAATCTCGATATGTTTTGCTACGTTCCAAATTTTCAAACAAAATTTTTCTTTTCAAAACATAAATGAAACATCCAAAAACCCTTTTCTCATAAAACACAAGTATCAATTTGTTCCAAAACCATATATTCAAATCAGAAATTGTATCAAAATAATAAAAACAACGAAAATCCAAATAATAAAATCATCAACGATGCGCGTACGGTACAATCAAGCTGGACTCTCCCCTTAACAATAGAACCAATTGAAAACATTGAATCAACAACTATAAGCAAAAAGATTAGTGAATTTCAGAATATATCACACGCCACAATACACATACAACGCATATAAACCGGTCTCTCGGATCTCGTGTCGATCCACATACAAACAAGTCTCTTGGCTTTCATTTGATCTATATACATACAAGTCTCTCAACTCTTGTGTTGATCCACATACAAACAAGTCTCTTGGATCACGTGTTGATCCGCATACAAACAAGTCTCTTGGCTCCAATGTCAATTTGCATACAAACAAGTCTCTCAGCTCTTGTGTCGATGCATCTAGTGACACATGGTTCTAGTGCCAATCTATTCATCAATAGTGGGTATTTAGGCTCACAACTATTGTGCTTATCTACCATCAACTCTGAGTAATCTAGGCTCACATCTCTCATGTCGTTCCACCATCAACCCCTCTATATAACATATCCCACATACCATACAATCAAGCAACCAAACCTGCATAATAAAAATCTTCCATACATTTACATCCTACCATAGCCAAATACACAATCCCGCAAGAAACAGTCTCACGAACCGCCTAAACACCAAATAGAGGCCAAACCTCAGTGTAAAGATTTAAATCCACCAATTAAACCAAAAGTCAAATTGGTCAAGAGGTCAAGGGTCAAAGTCAAGGTCAACAGCCCCAAAAACCAAATATGTGTGTCACACCAGCATACTAGCGTGCCACATGGAATACGAAAAAATAAACGATCTTCTGAAACAGAAGACACGTCACGCCCATAAACACGCACGTCGCGCCCTAGCTGATATTCACCCATTTCAAAAACCTCTTAAACCCTTTAAGACAAAGGTAATACTTTCATATCTAGTTCCAAACAATGCCTTAAGGGATAAAGTTTCCAAATTTATCCATACACTAGCCACATACCAACTAAAACTCAAACCTTATATCATAAAAGTATCCAATATCGTCATTTCATCAAGCATGGAGTAAAGAGAGCTCTTGCGTGCACTCTCTACTCCACCATAATCTCAGATCTAGACCCAAACACCAATTCCAAGCTTTGGGGTTCTCCAAACTCCACGGAAAAGACACCAAAGGGACCAAAACTCACTAGAAATCTATAAAAACTCATCGCACTCATATATCTATGGGTGAAACCTTAAAAAGCAAGGGTCTTTGACACTTATAAAGGTCCATACGTGTATAGAAGGTTGGAATCTTTAGTCTTCTTGCTTCATTGCACTTACATTCTTGAATCATGTACCAGGAACACTCAAAAATGGACAAAAATTGAATCAAGAAGATAAAGTAAGCTCAAAACATTTGACGGAGACTAGGGCTTCTCTCGTAAGGTCACTCTGGAGATGGAGAGTGGGAAATTGTAACGCCCTAATTTTCACAACAAAATTTTCAATTTTAATTTCATATAAAAGGAACCATTTTTTAAGTAATATCATAAAAACCATTTTTTCCAAAAGTTTACATTCCAAAATCTAAGTATGGTCATGAGAGCAAAATCACAAATTATGGTAGTTGCCAATGTGCGTACAATCACACCTTCACCTTCCGCGATCATCTGAAGTACCTGAAACATTTAATCCACAAATGTAAGTCAAACCTTAGTGATTTCCCCCAAATACCACACACCATAAAATACATACAAGCATGCAAACAATGGCCTTCAGTCCATGACTGGTCCGCCCCACTTTCCTTCAGCATACAGTTAGCTCGCACCTAGCCTTCAGCACATCCTGGCTTGACCGGGTATCTTGGCGTACTATACAAAGACAGACCGTCTAAACACACCACAAGATATGTCGACATATATAACAAACAGATAATCAACAATCCAACAGCACAGACAACTATCTACAGTAGTTTACTTGTCTCACTACTCACTACAACATACAAGGCCTCATACAGCATACTACGCTACATTTGGCAAATCACCAAATGAATGTATAGTTGTATATAATCAAAGGTAGCATAGACAGTCTAACAGGTGATCCTATTCTAAATCCACAACCAAACAAGGAACAGGAAAGAAAGCCTAGATCAAGAGTTCTCAAGCTATCCTACATGACTACATACAACCCCTAGGACACTAAATCTGATGACCACTGACCTACTGCTACTCTAACCAGCATATCACTACCCATTTATATCCATTATACCAAGGATATACATTTTAACACATAGTAAAGTGAGACTTACATGAATCGCAGAACCGGAGGAACACATCAACCCACTCCTCTCCTTGCACTTATCTGAACCGCGAATCGACTATCACCGAATAAAGATCAAACCTCAATCAACAACCCAAATCCTTTCAGTTTTACCCCATGTTAACTAGCCAAATTCAATGGTCAACAAGTCAACGGCCACCACATCTTGATCATGTTCGGACAAAACAGTCGACTGCAGAGCACCACCACGTCTAAGAAAACCTTTGGCCACAACGTGGTTTCGATCAGGATGTTATTTCTTCATTAAGAGCTTAATTTGTTCAGATCAAGGCTCATAACTTCAGATATGGTCCTTCTCAATGAATTAATGGATAAAATTTCCAACTTTATCTAATAAGACATCACCATAAAGAAAGATCTTGAATCCTAAGTCCACTAAGCTCTCTAAAGGCTAAGACTTTGTGCATGTGTCCAAGAGAATCCAAGCAAGGAACTTTTTTCTCACTTATCAAAAGTCCAAAGGCCTAGAAAGTTGCATAACAAGCTCTGGAGTTCCTCAACTCCAAGAACATCCATGAAAGGGACCAACATAAACCATAATGAGCTTAAACTTGCATCTAGAAGAACAAAAGTCAAGGTATGAAATTTATACCTCAAATAACTCAGAAATATGAAGAAGATGATGGATCTAAGCTAGCTCATTGTTCCCTTGCAAATATAGAGCCCCTTCTTCCTCAAGATTTACTAAAGCCCAAAGAATAAACTCTCTATCAAGCAAACAAGCTCACAATCATGCATGGAGGCTAGGGTTTCGAGTTGGAGGATGGGGTTGAAGAGGATGCCCTAATCCATGAGTTTAAATATAGAAGAAA